TGACGAAATGGAGCTTGGGGAGAGGCGATTCTTGAGAGATTTTTCAAGGAAAAATATTGGGGTAAGTGATTCTTACTTGGTTTTGGCTAAATCTCATGATTATGTCTTTAATTTCATCATCTAATTTGTGATTTGGGGTGAAAAATTGGGAAAAAGAGGAAGTGTTCTTGAGATGGATTTTTGAGGTTTTGAATGGGATTTTGTAATCGGATTTGAGTAAATTTTATATGGTTAGACTCGTGAGTGAACGGGCTTTCGGGTTCTGTGACTTTTGTCGGATTACGAGACGTGGGCCCAGGGGTCGGGTTCGGGCCGATTTCGAATTTTGGCTCTAATTCAGTAGTTTTCTTGTGGAATTGATCCCGTTAGCCTATATTAATTGTATTGTGATACTTGTGGCTAGATTCGGGACATTTGAAGGCCGACTCGCGAGGCAAAGGCATTTTGGAGTAGCTTTTTGCTCGGAATGAGGTAAGTAACTGTTTTAAATCTGGTCCTGAGGGTATGAAACCCCAGATGTTGTGCTATGTGATTATTTTGGAGGTGACGCACATGCTAGGTGACGGGCGTATGGGCGTTCACTGTGGGAATTGTGATTTGGCCCGTCTCGTGGAACCATAAATTGGAATAACTTGTTATTAGCTATATGTTTCTCTGAGTGTTATAGAAATAAAATCCATGTTAGAAATCATGCTTAGGCTATATGATGTCACTGTTGGGACCCAGAGAGATCATGCACTTGTTGATTTAGCTACTATTTGCAGTTTTGTACTCAGTGATAACTTTACTTGCGTATCATACCTCCATCTCTTCTTGCTCCTTGTTGATACATGTTTTACTTTTATTTGGGCTTATTTATATGATTTCTGAGAGTCCGAGAGACTAGGGAGGTTGATGACTAAGTGAGGCCGAGGGACCAATGGTGAGATATTGATACCATAGCACGTGAGTTGTCCGTGCGGATCCAGATATTTATACTGTAGCACCTGAGTTGTCCGTGCGGATCTTGATATGATATTATAGCACGTGAATTGTCCGTGCAACACATAAGTTATCCGTGCGGATTATAGCGCTTGGGCTGTAGGAGCCCCTCTGGAGTCTGTACACCCCCAGTGAGCGCAGGTACCTATTGAGTTTGAGTACTGAGGGCTGAGAGCCGAGTGATTAAGCTGTTGAGATGAGTTGAGTGACAGTTGCTTTGAGATGCTGTACTTGCTTTCCTTTGTTGTTGATGTTGTTGCACTTAGTTGCTATCTTTCATTGTTGTGAAATTTATGAAAGACTTTATATCTGGTTTACTTGAACTTGAATTGTATAAAATTGATTTGACTTAAACTGCCAGATTTGAAAGCATGTCTATTCTTTGCTCAAATTACTGAAAATGAACTATAACTGTGTAGCTCGTCACTATCTTCAGTTCCTTATTTATTATTGTTACTTACTGAGTTGTAGTACTCACGTTACTCCCTGCACCTCATGTGCAGATCCAGGTATTTCCGGACACGGTGGACGTTGCTCTCGTGCGTGGTTGAGTATCGGAGACTTACGAGGTAGCTCCCGGCGTCCGTAGTCCTTGTCTCTCCTTTCTTGTTATCTTTTCTTTTCTGTTTTGGCATGTTGACACAGACTGTTGTAGACTCTGTTCTTAGACTGGTTGTTTAGATGCTCATGACTTAGTGACACCCCGATGTCGGCCTATTTTCCGCACTTATGATTTGGGTTTACCCCGTTTTTATGAAAAAATCTGGTTATTTTGAATGTCTTAATTCATTTCTGTTAAATGTTGAAAGTGTTTTGAAAATGTTGGCTTCCCTAGTACCGCGATAGGCTCCATCACGACTGTTTGACTTGAAAATTATCGAATACTTTCCAAGCAAATCAATCGAAATAATTCAAAGGGTAAATCATAGCCAATCATAAATAATCACTGAATTAGAAGACCAACTTGAGGCATAGAAATAATCAATTATGGAAAAATATAAATGGGGTTTTATTCATCAAGGTAAATTGACCTGCCTCTCCTTGAAGAGGTTCAGGATCTTACATTGCTCTTGTTTCTTGCTCCACTTATGGAGTATATCTTTCTCTGGAGTATTCAGAGTTGTGTCGAAGAAGAAGCCCCTCTTGGGAGGTTCTCTCTCTTGGTATTTATAGCCTCAGGCTTTTTCATCTGGTCACGAATGGGTCCCTCCTTTTGTTGTGGAGACGTCCCCTTATTTGTTTTAAGGACAGCTGTCATAAGTCAAGAGTCAGCGGCGATGACCATTTACTACAAAGCGGTCGAGATGGGGTTGACCCCCTGGTCGCAAAATGGCCGAATATCTGCCAATACAGTTAGTCCCTCCGTTCGTCGAGGTCGTGCTCGAGTCGACTTCGGCGGACGGATAGAGCGGCATGATCGGGGAGGGCCGGACTCGCCTCTCGTTTATCAATGGTATTAAGGACTTCGAAATGAAGTTTCGGAACTGAACCGTTGGTTGGTGAGTGGATCGTCACTTCGCGTGGCCGTTCGTAATGGGGCACGTTTTCACGAAACCGAATCGCCTCGTGCCCGGTCATGTATTAATGGCGATTGTTGGGTTCTGTGCAGGCAGAGTCTGTTATTTATAACCAGAGAGGATGTGTCATTTTGCTCTTTACACATTTATTGTTCTTCTAAGAGAATTCTCGAGAAGTCTTTTCTTCTATTAAAGCACAATTTCCCTATTCTTTCGATCGTTATCATCATTGATTCCTTCGTTTCTCCCGTCAAAGTTCTTCTTTCTCTCGCTCGTGAATCGATTATGGAAAGAACTTCCTCTCGTGGCAATCGCCTGGCTAATTCTCCGGTGGTCGAAAATCCCGCTTACGCAAATGAAGGATTAGAGTTGGTGGAAGATGAAGAAGTTCCTTCGGTCGATGAAATTCTACCTNTTGGCAGTAAAAGTGCTCTTGAAGAGCAGATTCGTCGGAAGGACGAGGAGCTTGAGGTGGGAAAAGGAATCGCAGCCGAGTGTGCGCACCTGCAGGGTAAGTTGAGGGAGATGGAATTGGAGGCGGAACAGAACCGGTCAAAGCAGTGGAGGCGGCTGCGGAATGGAGTGGGAAACTGGCGGCGCTGGAAGGCGAGGTTGCTGCCTTGAAATTTCTAGAAAGGGGTGCCTCGTCGAGGGCTGGGGCGTTGGAGGCGTCGATCCGCGTGCATGAGTCCCGGCTTGAGTCGGAGAGGGAGACAGCGGCCCTTAGAGAGGCGGGGCTCGAAAAACGGATTGGTGTTCTTGAGCAGGAGGCCCAAGTTATGTTGGACCGGATTGCGGCCTTGGAGGAGGAGAACCGGCGACTGCAGAGCCAAGCTGGTTCGTCGCATACTGCCGTTTCCCACCAGGCTCATGAACTTTGGGTTTACGCCGTAGCTCAACGCGATGTTTACAAGAACTTGTTGGAGGACGGTATTATGACCGAGGCCGTCTTCGAGGTGGCACGCCAGAAGGCTCATGAAGCTCGTGCCGACTGTGGTTATGATGTGGCGACACCCGAGGCTGACGATGGCGTGAGTGGCGGCGAGTAAAAAAGAATTTGTTATTGGTGTTTGTTTGTTCCGTTCGCCGATTGGCGTTCGGGTGTTTCTTGTTGTTTTTCTTTATTTTTCTTTTCCTTGTGTTGACCGGCCGGNTTGTTTTAAGGACAGCTGTCATAAGTCAAGAGTCAGCGGCGTTGACCATTTACTACAAAGCGGTCGAGATGGGGTTGACCCCCTGGTCGCAAAATGGCCGAATATCTGCCAATACAACGTCGAGTTAGGTTTTGGGTCGTGACAGCATGCATATAATCAACTATTCCACTTTTTGGATTGTATGAATATACCGTTTCTTTAAGTGTGAATATTGATATGATTTTGTATTTTCTTATCTATACACGTTTGAAGCATCTAAATCTTATAAATCCTAATAAGCTTTTACTGATGGTGGGGAACTGAATAAACTGATAAAAGATTACAGTGACTCTAGGTTTTATATTAGAGTCAATAGATAATTAAAGAGACTACAATGTATTTAGTAGAATGTGAAAACGAAGAAAAGAAATTTACCCACCGAGTTCTGAATGTCGTCATTGATTTTACGGGAATTTCTCCATTATAAAAAAAATAAAAAAAAGAAAAAGAAAAGAAATTTATAGTACTTGCTCCCCTGAAACTATATTTCTAATTATGCCTATTCGTAAGAGGAAAAAAACTTGATTATATATCCGTATATTGGTGCTTGTACCAAATTGCATCCATTTATGTGGTTAAGTAATAAATTGTAGTGATTTTATATATATATATATATATACATGATTAAACTATATGTAAATAATAACTGCCAATTCGATGTAAATATTGAAACATGTCATATTCTTGCGCGACAGCTCGAATATTACCAAAATAGGAAAATAACAAAAAAAAGAATATAAATAATAGCAATGGTAAACTGAACTAGAAATATTAAAACATGTCCTAATCTTCCACGACAGATTGAATATTACCAAAAACTAAAAATATCTAAAAAAGAATATAAATAAAAAATTGTCTTCTTCTTCAACGACAACTCGAAAATTACCAAAGAATTCGAAAAAAAATAATAAAAATAAAAATAATGGTAAACTAAACTAGGATACTTATTCATCCATTTGTAAATTAAGGGATATTATTTAGAGAGTACCAAATACTAATAATCTTATAATGGCAAATCATCACTGGTCCGGGCCTGGGCCAGGAAATTGACTTGACCATTACAATATTATAGAGGTAAATTTTGAAAATCTTTTGAAAAATGAAGAGTACAGTCACCACTATGATTAATTATCTAAATTTACTTGCCCCATAACATGTGAACACTACAAAAATGAACTGGATACATATTTATGAACTACAAAATTGAATAAACCAAAGGCTTCAATATGTTGGAAAAACTCTATAAATACTATGCTTCTCCATTACGAAGTCCATATCACATAGTAACTCTTAGTAATTAATACTAGTTATATCATCATTATCCTTGAGAATGAGTACTAGACTAATTAAGGGTCGCAAAAATATTCATCTCGCGAAGATAGAAAATCAGAATAATCGACAAGTGACTTTCTCAAAACGCCGAAATGGTGTCTTCAAGAAAGCAAACGAGCTTGCCGTTATGAGTGGTGCTGAAGTTGGCATCATCGTGTGTCCACAAGGTAATTACAAGCCTAATTATATTTTTTTTGTCATCTATATATACATGATATACCATCAACAAATATAACTTTTTAAGCATAAATGTACATGCATGATCATAACTAAACATGCAAATCTAAGATCTTGAACATGATAATTAATTTCACGTAAAATTAAAGCATCATAAAAAAAAATACTTGGTGTGGGTGGCGTTACAATAGTAAATAAACCGATTTCTCTCCTCTTACCCTATTTTATATTACTGATTTCTCTTCTCTTTCTCTATAGGTAGCAAGCCTTACTCTTTTGGTCATCCAAATGTAAATGATACCATCAATAAATATATTGGCGAAGAAAGGTCTCCATCACCATCATCGCCAGGCATTGATGACAAGTATGTCCTGATGTTCCGAAAAGCCAATTCTAAAGAACTTAACACAGGACTCAATTCTCTGCAAGACCAACTGGATTTTGCATTAAAGTTGAAAAGCAAACTCAAGCAAATGAATAAGAATGTGAAGAGCCAACAAGAGTGGTTCAAGGGTCCTATAGAGAAGATGAACTACACCGAGGCTTCAATGTTGAAGGAGGGATTGGAAGATCTTCTCTTGAAGGTGAAGAACTATGGTACTGAGCGTGGTTATGGTTACGAAAATGGAAAGTGGAAGGCTGAATAAAAGCTACTACTAGTTTTTTTTAATAACCGTTTGTGTTATTTTATTTTAAAGGTTAACCTTGGCGCAACCATAAAAGTTATCGCCATGTGACTAGGATGTCACAGGTACAAACCATAGACCAACATGGTCATAGTTTCTCTCTTCCCCGGCCATATCCTGCACATAGCAGGAGTTTAGTGCATGGAGTGTTCTAGTTAATCATTATTCTTTGGGTTGGGGTATTATGTGATATTTTGGTGATATCTACTATGTATGCGTAATAAAAAATATGACTATGATGGAATATAAATAGAGTTATAAAAAAGATATCTTAGTTTCAAATAATTCAAAAAATAAAAATAAAAATATAAAAAATATAATGCTATTGTTTAAAAACCTAAAACTACATAACAAATCACAGATACTTATTATATTACAAATAACCATAATAAAACCTTCAAAATAATATATAAGCTAGAGAGATACCAAAAAAAAAAAATTTAAAATAAAAAACTAACTTGAAAAGATAAATTAAAGAATACAAAAAAAAGAACTTCAAAGAAATTAAGCATAAACAAGGAAAATGCAAACGTCGAAGGAAAGTAAGAATTAGAGGCCAAACCTTTTTGTACTTTGCATTTTTGCAGATAAATGTCTAAAGTTTATTTGTTTCTCAGTAAATGACAAAGAGAAAAGATTGTGAAATCAAAATAAACAATTAAAAAAATGTTGACTTTTGAAATTTTTAGTTTGAGAATTTACTATGAATTAATTTTTGAATATTTAAATTTTAGAAAAAGGATTTATTACGCAATTTATCTCAAATTTGAAATATTTCTCGGGGCTACGCCCCAAATAAAGGCCCAGAACATTGGGGCTTAAGCCTAGGCAAACACCCAGAAGGTTGGTGCATACGCGCCACGGTACTTTCACCCCACTAGTACGCCTTATTATTTGGTACGCCTCACCTAAGGGCTCGCTCAGAAAAACCCTTTTAAAACACTGCCAAAGACAATGCTAGGAACTATAGTCTTGCTTAGGCAGCTATGCTATTAATTCTAAAGTGGAACCTCAAACCTGAATTGGAACGAAGTTGGAGCTAGTTATGCTTAACAATTTTATTGCAAGTAGAAAAGGCGCCATTGTTCCCCACATAGTTTTCTTTGAAATATTACATTGTAGCACCAAAATTGTTAGGTTCCAGCTTTCGTTGCTGAGAGTAAAGATGTTACTCTGATTTTCTGAATGTCTGCTTTATTGACATACTGATAAAGGAAAGAGTCTTTTTAATAATGTAGATAATTTCTCGACCTTGGAATATTTGGTGCATTTAACTTATGCTGCTGACTTATCTCTATCACCAAAGAACAGTTTCCATCCAGGCTTCTCGACCTGTTCTAATTCTTCAATATGCATTACCTCCTCGTCCGGGAAATATGTTTTCAAAGGCTCATATTCGTCATCAACGGGATTTTCAGCCAGGTGATCAGCCAATGCTTGTGCTTTCATGGCGGTCCGCGTCACGTAGACAATATCAAATTCCGTAAGCAGGATTTGCCATTTCGCCAGCCTCCCTGTGGGCATGGGCTTTTGAAAAATATACTTCAATGGGTCCAACCGAGAGATGAGATAGGTAGTATATGCTGACAAGTAATGTTTCAACTTTTGCGCTACCCAGGTTAAAGCACAGCACGTCCTCTCGAGTGGAGTGTATTTTACCTCATATGATGTGAACTTCTTGCTGAGGTAATAAATCGCCTGCTCTTTCCTTCCCGTGATGTCATGCTGCCCCAGTACACAACCAAACGAATTGTCTAACACAGTCAGGTAAAGGATCAGGGGCCTTCCTNGGGATTCTTTGAGATTTCATTCAATCTATTAGTAATTTGTATATCTTGTTTGAATAGATAACTAAACTTTTTAGTTTTATAAATAGAAATCGAAAAAAAAAAAAATTGTATTATTATACCAAATCCTTATTTTGTCCTTTATTGTATTGTCCTAAATTTTGCAATAAAAAAAGTTTTCGCTGGCGAATATTGACTCTTTCAATCCCTATTTCATTTGTAGGGTTAACTCGTGACTTCTCAGATCTCCAAATACATGAATTAATCTCTGCTTCGTTCCGCCATCCCGACCAGCACAATCCTTGAAGAGTATGATGTGCCCGGCCTTGCTTCTCTTGATCCCCACCCACCTCCCGTAGAGGCGGGTCAATGATAAAATAGAATCCTGGGTCGCGAACAGTGATTCAATTGATGATAAAGAAAGAGAATTCTTGGTCCAGTTCTCCACCTTAACGACAGAAAATAGGATTGATCAAATTCTATTGAAGTTTCGACTTGTTCATTCAAGGTCTTTCTGCACTACGAAGCCAATCTTGCCAAGTCTTTCATACTGGGGTTCACACTGAACAAAGTCTTTCTACTAGAAAGTCTCCGCTATGCGGAATAGCAAAATAGATAGAGGAAATAGTTGCTCAAGTCTCGGAAACCGTTCCCAACATCATCCAAGAAAGAAGAGCGTCCGAGACAAAGCCTGGATCGTCGAACTAAAGAATCTCAACATTGGCCATAAAAACGCGTTTGAAGGCTTGTTTCTGGGACTGATAGGGAGGGGTCTAAGACTTTAATTTCTGCTATATCAACCTTCCAAACCAGATGTAGTAAAACCATAAGCACAGATAACCGAGGCTATGAAGCAAGGTATAGCAATAGTCCTAAGTTCGACAAAGTACCAAGCGAAGAACTTTAGTACACCTATAAATGCCTATAGGGACATCTTGTCATAGTTTTGTGTATGTTCACAAAGTGAGGCCTAGAGAGGCTAAAAGTTGGAGGAAAAAGGAGAGAAGAATCGCATAGGAACACATACAGGTACACGGTTATACATGATGCATGACGGAAGGTAACAACAGTTACGAGATTGGAAGAATTTCGACCACAGGTCGTGGTATGAGAAAGAGGCCTAAAGGGGGAAATACCCTGGCCTTTGGATTTATTTACAAAACAATTTCCTAGATGTCAAGGACAAAATTAAAGTATTTGTAAGAGCTATAGGTTATGAGACTGATAAATGCATCAGTCAACATTCGAGGACGAATGTTCCAAAAGGGGGGAATAATGTTACATCCCATGTTTTCATACGCGAGAGTACGTCGTAAGTCAATTGATGTAAGCTAAAAAAATGAGATTGTCATTGAAAGTACATAACGTAAGTTCATCATGTTATATTGGAGGTTACAAATCTTTAAGATCATGAATAACAAGTACCAAAAGGGTTGGAAAGCTTAGACGCTAAACGAATTGAAGAAAATAAGTTTCGTCGAAAGTCGACAAGTTTGGAATATTATAACATGATAAGGAGGTTAAGTAATGAGTTATTTTAGTCGTATGATAGTCGTGTGTTATGTTTTTAAGTCAAGCGAGTTGTGGAACAAAAGTTGGGAAAGGTCATCACAAGTTACATTCATAATATGCTGAAATTTAGGTCAAATGGAGCTGCACGTTTCTCCCAATATACTTGGAATAAATGGATGAACTACATATTAAATTGAAGATATACGAGTCTAGTTTCTAACGCATTAAACCATTCGTCGATACGATATCGGACTAGAGAGATATTCGCGTTTTCGCGAAACTACGCAAGCAGCTCCCATGGGACCCACAAAGTGGGTTTAAACTTCAGCTTGTATTTAAGTCATTTATATGTCGTTTTAACTCATTTTTCTCATTCAAAACAGTTCCTAAACCCTCCTAAATGCTCTCCAAGGGTTCCTCCATGATTCTAGGGTGAAAACCTAAGATAAAAACATGAATCCAATGCTAGAAATCCCGGGGTGCTTGCTAGATCGTTGTTCTTCATCTTGTGGCTGTTTTGGAGGGTTCTTCAAGGGTAAGTAAGTTCAGATTTTGTGTTGTTCTTTATGTTTAAGATAAGAATCAGTCTCTCCTTCATATATATTAGAGTTTCAAGGCGAAATACAAGTATTTACATACCAACTTGAACACAAAGGTTGGTTCAAGAAGAGAATACAACTCCTATAGTGTTATGGTGTGATTGAGGGTTATTGTGAGCTACACCAGCTGAGGATTTCAAGTTGTATCTACTGCCTAAGGTACATAAATCATGTTCTTGGTTGTGCTTAAGGTCAGTCATGTGTTGGTTGAGTTGTTTGAGTGAAAATCTATAAGATAGTAATTGACATGGCATAAGGAATCATTATCTTTTCTTTGTGGGCTGTGTTGAGGCAATATATATGAGTTGTTGCGGTTGGAAATTGTTATAAATAGTTTCATTATGTTGTGGCAGCTTTTGTTAAGCTTATCTATGTGCTAATTCAGTGGATTTAAGAGGATAACATGAAAAATAAGATGTTGACGGTAAAGGTTAAGGTGCTAGGCGTGTGGACTATATTTGAAGATTATGCTTATGATGTTTTGTGCTGAAAATGATACGGTAAGCATAAGTTTGATGTTATATATGTTGTAGGCAGATTCATGAAAAAGGAATTGGATTCAAACAAGATTTTGTTAATCGTAAATCGAGCTTGCCGCTCAAAATGGTTGTTGAACTAATCGGAGAGCTCATTGTGAATTATATTATTGTTGTTTGGGCTGTTTGGTGACTTTTGGTAACACATGGGATGTAGTACAAATAGGGGAGGTGCTGTCCATTTTCTTGTAGAATATTGGTTTCTAAATATGAGAGTTACAACGCTTATATGTTGACGGTGAAGTCGGTTTACTCATTGTAGACGTAAGAAGATCATATTGAGCTTGCTTGACGATTGGATAGAAGATCCAAAGGTATGTTAAGGCACTTCCTTCTTTCTTTTGGCATGAGCTAAAGTGATATGAATACGCTATTTCATAACGGATCTACTCCCAGTTGCCCATGTTGTTTTGATGACCCAAAAGGGTCATCACTTGTTTTTAAAATGAATTCTATGTTTCGAGGCCTTAAAAACCTCTTTTAGCTTCACCTCGTTTTGCGTGCGCAGTCCGAGTGCGTAGCCGGAA